GATAATCAAAATATAAATAGTTTAATATTTTTATGAAAAATTGAAAGATTATAATATTTTTATGGTAAAATTTATATTGTAAAATTACATGCAACTTTGGTATTTAGAAATAAAAAGCAAAATAATATGATTATTTATACAAATATATTTAGTCAGTATTAAAAAAATGAAATAAATAATTATATTAATGAATATTATTATCTAATATTAATTAAAAATACAAAAATTATTAGTATTAATTTTTTCTTAAGATAATATATTAATTTTATAAAATAATAAAACTAATATATATAATTTAATTTTTATTTTATTTTTTTTAATTTTTAGAAATTACTATTATTAAAAATATTTAAAATTATATAAATAATAAATAAGCTAGTATCTGTTTTTAATTATGACTTTTTAGTAAATATAAAACATAAAATTATACTATCTTTTTATCTAATAATTAATTATAATAATAAAAATGATTTTTTACATTTCAGTTAAATTTTTTATTTATCTTGAATTTTTTAAATATATCATGTGAAACATATATAATAAACCTTTTTGCAATTATAAAAGAGAAGTTTTTTCATAAATTTATATATTATAAAGTAGATTAAAACAATTTTAATATTTATTAACAAATGGTAGTCTAAATAAAAATTCTTGATTTCTAGCTAATATTTTAAAATATTAATTACTCTTTAAAAATCTAAATTTAAACTATTATATTATTCAAACATATACTTCTAGATAACTACTTATAATTTAGTAGAATAGAATATAGTATCACTTTTTGATAAATTAATTAGCATTATATTTAATATTTTTAATTATAGTAATCATTTTAATCATATAAATAAGTAAATTACTATTATTATAAAAGCTTAGGTATAAAAATTTTAAATATGTTAATAAATATTTATAAGAACTTTGAAAACACATTTTTATTATTAATAATTATTTATTTTATTATTTCATATATATTAAAGAATATGATTAAGCTATATTTTCAGATATTAAAAAAAAATTTATAAAATTAAATTGATTATTATTTACAGATTTGTAAATATTTTATTAATTTTTACAAGTATAAAAATAAAATATTATAAATTTTTATAAACTTCTTATATTATAAAATTTTATTATCAAATAATAGCTTTATTTACCTTATTATACAAGAATAAAATAAGCATTTTCTTAATATATTAAAATATTTTAATAATAAGCTTTCTAGTTATGATAGGTATTATTTAAATATTTTATCTAAAGTATATCATAAATTTATATGTTAAAAATGTGATAAATATTTTTTCAATAAAGTTTTTATAAAAAATCATATTAAAATAATGTATTTAAATAAAAGAAAAGTAGCATAAGTAGTTGAAAAGAATAAAAATAAAGAATATGATAATATTAAAATTAAATATATAAATAATAATAAAATAAAAAGGCTTGTAGATTATATAGAAAGAAAATTAAATCATGATAGGTATGTAAAAGGTAATAATAGATATAAAAAAAGTAAAATAAAAAAATTAAATCTTAGGAATAAAATTATTTTACATTTTAATTTTAATATAATACCTTTTAATTGATTAAAATAATTTATAAATAATACAGAAGTTTATCAAAAGTTTCTGAATATTATTTTTGAAATATATATAAAAGATAATATTTATATATATTTATATTTATTTATTTGTTTATTTTGCTTTAAATAATATTTAATTTCAAATTCCCTTTTCATATTTTTTGCAATTTACAGCTATAACTGCAATAATAGGAAAAAATAATAAATTAATTGTAAAGTAACATAATGTGATAATTTATTATTATAAAAATAATAATTCATATAGTAAAATTGCAGAAACTGTTAGATGTTATAAAACAATAGTATATAATACACTAAAAAAATATTCTGAAACTAATTTTATTAACTTTAAGCTTTATTTCAGATGATTACATATGAAAAATATTATATAATATAATCATCTTAAATATTTAGTAATAAATGAAAAATACAAAATTAATGATTATATACTTTAAAATAAGAAAACTTTAGAAGAAAAAATAAACTAAAATTTTTTAGAAATAACTATTTATTATACTCTTTACTCATTTAAGCTAATAAATTAAGTTATAAAATAAAAGTTTCTTATTTTACCAACAAATAAAAAGAATAATTTACATGATATTTAAAATATAAGAAATAGATAAAAAATTATTAGACAAAAGTTTTATGAAGTGATAAATTGACTTTTACCTAATTCTAGTAAAGTTGAATTAGCAGGATATAGAGAAAACTAAAAGATGAAAAGTTATTCTTTTGTGTTTTAGTCACAATAAAGTATATCTTAAGCTGTATATTTTAAGGTTATTTTCATAATAAGAGATGAAACTGATTATATCAATTCATAGATTAATAACTAAAAATACACATATTGAAATACTGCATAAGTATATTTATTTATAATGAAATGTATATTTTTAAGAAACAATTATTTGTTTTAATAGACAATGTCAAATCCTACAAATCAAAGATTATATCATAATTTTGTATAAAAAAAACTTATGCACTCTTTTTTAGTCTACTTAAAGCCTAGATCTTAATTCAATTAAATTTATAGATTGAAATCATAAAAAAAAATTAGAAATAAAAAGAAAAAACCAACTAGCTTTGTTAATTTTGAAGGAATATTAAAAATATATAGAAAGTGAAAATTTAGTTAATAGTATATTAGCATAAATTTAAGCAGTAATTATAGTAAAAAGTAGTTCAATTAAATACTAATTTAATAGTATGAAATATAGCCTTTAATATCTATAAAATAAAATTATAATAAAGATTGTTTATTAAGTTTTAAAAATTAAATATTTTATATTATATAAAAAATCATTTAAAAATTTTTGATAATTTTTTATAATAAATTATTTTGATTTATAAACTAAGATGAGATAATATTTCACTATATTACTTTTATAATTTGAAAATGATGACAAGTTAGTAAAAACATTTTTATTTAGCAGGTGAAACATAAAATAGCTTAAATTTTGAACACTTGGCTTAGTATTTTTTGCTATAATTCAAAGTTTATTATAGTAAATCAGAACTTGAATTATTATTTTTTTTTTATTAATTCTTAAAACTATTTAGCTTCTTATAATTTAATTTTGATGAATTTTGCTTATTTTGAAGCTTTTTTATAACTAAATCTGATTATTTTGAATTAATATTTCTATGTCTTTTATATTATATAATTACTTTATTTTAAGGATTTATAGCTTAAATAATTGATTTTGAACATTTATAGATAACTCTATTTTTTTATATATTAATATACAGATTTTTTATTTTCTTTAGATTTCAAGATTATAAAATAGTATTTAGTATCATTAATTTTTAAATAGTTTCTTTTACTTCAGTTTTAATATTTGTACTTGTTTGAGATTCTTCTATATACATATAATTAGCAAAACTCTATTAAATATTATATAAATTTTTGTGAAACTTATAAATAGTAAATTCAATTAATTATTATATAAAATTATAAAACTTGTAAAATATTTCACAATTTTATATTTTTGAAACTTTTTAATAAAATGTTTAAATTATATTTAATTTTATCAATTATTTAAATCTATAGATTTAAACAAATAATCTTACTAATATACTATTAAATATTTTTCATTTTCTCATCCTAACATTAGTTTTGCTAACTAAAAGTAATTTTATATTTAAATTAATTTGTAAATCTTACATAATTTATATATGTGATTGATATATTAAAATTTATTAATACTTCTATAATAAAGCATTTTAAAAATCATTAATTTGATATAAGTATACACAAGTTAAAAATATAAATAATAAGTATATATATTGATTTTATACGTAATATGATCAGTATATATATTTAGATATCATTTAAGTATATAATTTTTTATAGGATTAAAGCAGGATATTTTAGAGGATTACCTTTATTTAAATATTTTAAACTAGATCATATTTTCATAAATTGTTTTTTTTTAGATACTTAGTCACGAACTTATTTAGTTTCAATATTAAATTTAGTTGCTGTTTCATTTTTACTATATCTCTTTTTATGATATATAACAACAGCAAGTTTTTCTTTTACATTCTATACTCTTTATACTTTTTCTAATATTCTTTCACAATTGGTATTTTTATTTATTGTAGACCCATATTACTTTATAATAAAGTAGTAAAAAAATGACAATTTATGTTATGGTTATAAGGATAAAAAAAACCAAAAAAGTTTAAAGTCAAAAAAAAAGATGAGTTAAAATAAATAAAACTCTGATCACATTATTTTGAAATGTTATTCATATTTTCAAGAAAATGTTAAAAATCAAAAATCAAAAATTCAAAAATAAAAAAAGATGATTGATGATTATGATTAATATCCTCCATTTATTGTATTCCCTTTGTGTATTACCCCTTATATAGTACCTTTCTCCAAAAGTAGTACCCCAGGTACTATTCAAAATTAAGCTTGGGTTTGCTTGAATAATACCCGGTACTAATGTTAGCATATAGATATACTATAGCCAATCATGTTTTGTTTATCTCGTGATAGATCAGCCACACGCCACATTTTTTGAAGGAAGTCAATTAACAGACAGTGTCACATGTAAAACTGAATCTTATCCACACTCAACAAACGAAAAATAATAGATAAATTTTTTCAAGAAAAAATAGATAATGATATATATACTCGTAAAGCAATATTATATTATTATATTTTTATTTTCCTAAGATCATGCTATACATTTTACATCATAATAAATATTATCATTTTTAACTTCATCTTTTAAAATATTTGAATCAGTTTTGTTACTCCACGAAATCCTTATGTAAAAGAAGAGATTCATCAGTTTCAGTGATTTGACTAATATTTAAATAAATAAATAAATAAAAAGGGAATTGTTAAACGTTTAAACATAATAATAATGAACATACAAATATAACTTATACTAATTGTTAAGCATTTTCAACATACCAAATTTCCAGAAATCTCCACCTTGTAACAATCACCACTAGGGTAAACGACTGCCAATCCAAATTCATTAATTGATTTATTTCTTAATTCCTCGGGAAAAAAAGAACTACATGCAACACCAACAAGTTTATTTCCTATCAGTTTCTTGAATTCTAAAGTATCAGTTTCTTTAATTTTTTCTGGAAATTCATTTAATCGATTAACAATCTTCTTTATATGGTCCTAGGAAATTCAGATTTATCAGTAAGCCAGACTGTTGATAAATTCATAAAAGTATAATAATTCTTTTATACTTACTTCCGTCATCTTGTGTTTACACTCAAGTAAGAATGTCATGTTTTTGCAAGTAAGAACTCCGTCCCATTCCATAATTGTCTGTTTATTTTTATACATTATTCGAGGAAATATTTCTACAGATGAATTAAATTTATTCGCAAGAAAGCTCTTTACGGCTAATAGAGTTTCGTTCTCGATTACCGTGTCTTCAACTTTTGTCCAGAAAACTCCCTTTTTGATTGCAGTGAGATGCATTGCATTTATTTCATAGTAACGGTTAGGAATTACACGTTCTAAGGATGTAATAATATTTGGATTGTCGCTGATATCATCGATTAGTTCTAATCCATTTGCTTCGTTCCTCCTCAAAAAGTTAAAAAATTCATCGTGATTATCCATTGTATATGTCCCAAACTTTCCCAGTAATGGTTCGCCTTCATTATTGTATATTTGAACATAAAAAGTCTTCGTATTTCCTAACATTACAAGAAAATGAAGATACAGTATAATTTTGGAACAAAAAACGCGGACGTATAAAGAATAGGTGTGTCACTTTAATGTAGACTAATTACAGTGGCAATCATAAATAATGCAACAAAAAAATAAAATCCGTTAAATTTAAATATTTCTTTCAATTCTAGAGATATCCCGCCCTCTTTAATAAAATTTTATTTGTTAATACCATTATT